GTTAAGGAATATTAAAAGTGCATATTACTAAAATGAATCATGTCTCATCATGTAATCACTCAGTGTTTCTATCATGGAAAAACATCAATAAAATAGCTTGTGAGCAGTATAGTCACTTCACGTTACATTTACCTCCGAAAAGTTATCCAGTGTTCACAGTTCGTTAGTTAAAACCTTAATTACTGTTATTTATTTATGTATGTTTGAATAAATCTGTCATGAAGACAAGTTTTTATAAAAACTTCCTTATGTGCAGATGAAATGTATTGATTTGAGTGTGATTGTTTTCTGACATATATTGAATATAATAGAATATATGATAGTTTGGGCTCTGTTATTAATTTTAACCTGTAATATTATAGTAAAGTACCAATATAGAGGGTTCTCTTCATAGATTACAGCTTTAGTTGGGATTTGAAGTTGACATCTAGGCCTACCTGAAATATTCACAGATGAATCATTATTGAATTGAAGACGGTTATCTCGCTGTCTTTAGTGCTAGCATTGGACAGCATGAGAACATTTGAATCAAATCTCGAGATATTCTCACCAAACTATCGAGATCTGCAGATCTGAATAATCGGTGCAATGATTTTGTATTGGTGGATCTCTACTTCTTTTTTGAGCAATGGATGTGTGTTTGCATGTTGCCTAACAATCTAAAGCCTTCATGTAAACAGCCTGAGCTCAAGCCAAATCTCAAGGGCTGGTATTTATCCTAAATAATAATGTAGGCAATCCAACTATCATCCACACATATGTTAATGTACGTCTTAGGAACTGCAATCAGATTGGATTCATTCAGATTGATTAAAAAAATCAGGGCAGAGTTTTCAGTGGAAATTATTTTACGCAACAAAAAGTTTTGGTTGCTCAAAGGTTTAGTTCACCTAAAAATAAAAATAAAATGTTTATAATTTACTCACCCTCATGTTGTTCCAAACCTGTAAGATTTTCATTACTCTTAAAAAAATATATAAATAAAAAAATAAGTCGGGTAAATACAACTTTACGTTTTATTAAAGAGAGACATGATTTGATGTATATGCGCTTCTGTCTTCTGTTTACCATGTGATGCGTTCTGTGAATGTGTTTATACGTAAATAAACTCCTATCATATCTCTTCACACGACTCATATGGGTTCATTTTACACGCCTCTATGACCTTTCAATGGAAGGAAAGAAATCTCTCAGCTTTCATACACACATGAAAGGCATACACATATGTTTTATTAACACGGGCCCATATAAATATAAAACTTCCCCATATCCCCAAATATTACACTTAAGTACATAAACTTGCCGCACATTGTACCAAATCATGTGTCATTTTGAGATAACGACTAATAACACAATATAATAACATAATAATACAATACAACACAAATATAATCAACCACCCAGAGCATAGCACATATTTACTTCCAACAGTGTAGAAATGCATGTGACTCCATGTAGCTGAATGATTATAAATGTGCGTCTCCATCATATTGAATCGTCTCCAGCTCCTGATGCAGTCTGTGTGTTTCCGTCTTGCAGGGGAATATTTTTCGTGACGAAGGGCACGTTTGGGCAGCTGACGTGCGAGTGGCAGTATCTCTTTGATGAGTTCACTAAAGCGCCCATGATCGTGGAGGGCAGGAGACTGCGGATAGAAGCAAAGGTACATCATACATGCTTTATTTACTTCATAATGGTCGCTGCTCTTATAGTGTGTGTTATTTTACAGTATCCACTTACTATAATAACAAGGAACAAACCCTGAAACCAGCCCTAAACAAAGACTTACTCTGAGTAGTTAACTTGTATTACTCAGTACTTTTAGTACAAGTGAAGAGTTCAGATGCAAAAGCCTCTAAGTGCCATTTGAAATTTTCTTCTAGAATGATCATTTTTATCAAGCTTGTATATTTAAGTTCAGTGATTTCACTTAAATGGCAATGATAATTACCTATTAATTGTTATTTAAGTGAAATTACTGAACTTAAATATACAAGTTTGATAAAAATCATCATTAAAGAAGAAAATTTCAAATGGCATTTAGAGGCTTTTGCATCTGAACTCTTCAAGTGCACATAGTACTTCAACACTTTCTCCACCTCTGAAAGGGCTTTTCTTTTCTGATGATGTCATCTAGGCCACGTAGGCGGGGTTAAAGCATTAAAGTCCCTCTGTAGTCAATCATTTGATCCGTGAAAACTCACCTTTGATCACCAAAATGACATAATTAAACCTTTATTCATGCCTTGAAATATCTTGAATGTAACTCGACACTCTTGCCTCATTTAGTATGCACAGGTCTATAAATATGCAAATGAGCCCCGCCTCCACTCAGCTCAGCTCAGGGTTGACGATCACACGTTGATCTGATTGGTTACAAGGTCGTTTGTGACGTCAGAAACACCAAAGCGTGTTTTTGAGACTGTCTGCAGTTTTAAGGAGGAAATACTCAGCAATGCTGTCCACTTATCAACTTAAAGCATATTAAAAACACCACATAGACACATAATCAACATTAAAAGCTGGATTTACAGCACAAGGGAACTTTTAAAGTAGTAGCATTGACATGTTTGATGCAATTAAATAAAGGATTCATTTTGTTATGTTTGTTATGATGTTGTGTTTTTCACAGGAGAGAGTGAAGTCAGTGTTTCATGCCAAAGAGTTTGGGAAGATCATCAATTTCAAAACCCCAGAACTAGCAAAGGTAGAGTTGCACGTTTTTGCTCTAGAAGTTGGTTCATGAACTGTTATCTTAGTATTTCATAACAAAGGACACACTAGATCTTAATCAGGGTAGCGGCGTGTTCAGTTTTAGACAGGAAGGAAACCGAGGCTGTGAGGGACAGAATTACAGTGTGTTCAACAACACTCATCGGGTCAGCTGATGAAACGTCTTTCTGGGGGGGGGGGGAAACTATAACTAATATAAATTTAAGCTCCTTATTATGTAGCCGAATCTGTGCTGGTTTGTATTGGCCGCCTCCAGTTTTCACTTTGTCTTGCCTCCAGCTAGCGCCGTGACGTAACTGGTCGGCTCGGAATTGGTCTATAACAGGAAACAGGAAACTAAATCTGGTTGTTTTAACCAAAATTATGTTGATTAAATGCAAATTCAGTTTGGGTGGAAATTAAAAATGAATTTCCTTTGATTCTCATATTCTGCCTTTGAGTTTCCTACTTGAAATATGTCCAAAATTCCCCAGCTTAACTTCCCATGGAAAGTTTCTGGAAAATGTACCATAAAATGTTCTGCTCCTTTGCAACCCTGAAGATGATGGACGGGGTCCTCGTGGGTCCTTAAAAACACATTTAAGCTCATAATAAATTGGATGTCTAATTGATTATTTTAAATTTTGGGATGAACAAAAATTTTCAATGAAAGTGTATTTCTATATTTCAGATATATATATATATATATATTTTGAGATTGGCATGGGGTACTTTCAATGCAAATCAAACCAGCTATTAGGCTAACTGAAGTAAAACCATGCCAATCTCTAGGTGTGGTGGAAGGTGTGTGATGATGTGGAGATATTTTAATCCCAAAGGCCAAGGGAACTTTATCAGGATGCATATTATCCTGGATCCATGAAATAACTGGCTTTTAAAAATAAAAATCTGCCTGACTCTATGGGAATTTAACATAGGGGTGCCCTGACTTATGCACCCTGTATTTTAAGGAAAAAACATTTATTTATTTATGATACATTATTCATTCACAAAGAAAATTTGTGTCCTTAAAGGTTGGAGTTTTCCTCATTTTTCTAATTAAGGCATTAAGATCAATATCCAAAAGTTGATTTTTTTTTTTATTCCTCTTTTTAGGCAACTTTAGCATGGGGGCAAACACTTATTCACACCACTGTATATATGTATATATTCTATATTTTTAGATAATGTTTTTATTTTATATAATGAATTTCTAATGTATTTTAATACACTAAATTATATTTACAGAGTTTATTCAGTTTTTGAGCACAGACCTGAAAATAAAATGTACAACTGAAGTCTGTGATCCAAAGCATTCAAGATTTATGACCCTTTGAATTTGGACGACACTGGGCACATTATTGCTGAATTAAAAAAAAAAAAAAAAACATTTTTCACTTAACTTAAAAAAGCTATAGAGTTTTACATTTTTATTCGGAAAAATACACAAAAATACTAAATACTATTTTTTTTTTTTTTTTTTATGAAATATATATTTTCCAAAACCGTATTCCAAAAAATTTTCGGTGAGAAAATTAAAGCCATAAATCTAAACAAGATCTGTTCCAAATTTGAGGTTGATATCTCAAAAAATGAAGAATATGTTTGGCCGCAGTACCAAACGCTTCCACTAGATGAAATGTGCCTCTCATTCATTTCTAATGCATGAAGAGTCCAAGTGTGACTATTTGTTTTTCAGGACCATTTAACCTTTTCAAATCATGTTCATTATTTTGTGTGTGTGTGTGTGTGTCGTACGCAGTGGGTTCTGGGCCGGCTGGAAGATGCCAGGGAAAGCCTGACGAAGTAACCACAGTTGTGCCTTTACTCTGCATTTGCAGTGTGCCATCTTACAATATACCCACAATGCAACGGTCATCCACAGAACACGGTAATGACTGTTAGACTGTGCGCTTGTGTTCGGATTACATTACACTGTATTTTTCAGTCCTCACCCGCTGTCCAATCCCTATTTTGCAAAACTCATTTACATATTGTCGTTTACAATGTGCCTCGACGCGCATCGAACCTCGTCTCTTAACAAAACCCGCACTAAATTAAGGTGTCGTTTTATAAATGTATTGATAAAGACCAATACACTGTATGTATATTAATTGTCTTTACATGTGGCGTTTAAATAGAAATGACCAGGAATGTATGGAAATGGTAATCTCTCACAGGAGAGAAGGGATGTTTTTAATGTGTGGCTCTGCATGTTTCTCAGTGTCTATTTGATTGATTCTCCAGCTTGTGTTAGTTCTCAACAGTAACTTTTTTCCCAGAGCTGACACACCTGTACAAATATGCAAGCTGTAATATTTATCTGTGGTGCATTTACTTAAGGAATGTTGAATGATTTGACATTAAAGTCGACATGAAACGCTATTTATTGGGTGACCTGTAAATGATGTAACCCTATAGGATTAGGATAGGCAAGTCGCTGTTCAGTCAGTTTCAGGATGCCTTTCTAAAATCGAATTACGGTTACTGCAATAAAATGAATTGACGCATCAAGTTTCCCGGTGGATTAAATCAATACGATTTCTGTGCATCTTTTGCACATGAATCTTCATACTTTCATCATGCAACTGGAAATGCATGAATCTAGGAAAGTAAAACTGAGAATTATGAATGCCATATCATGACATTTTATTTTCTTGTCATTTTTAATTGATTATGCACATTTAATAAATGCGTTTTGAATTTTGACTTGGAGTTATTTGAGTAACAAACAACATATGGCTGTATATCCTTGTTTAATAAATATTATCAAAGCAGATAAAGACATTACAGTTTAAAGGCACTTCAGGAATTCATTACAGCTTGAACCTGCTCTCAACCGCTAGTAAACCAATGAGGTAAAATCAAGAATTCAACTAAGAATATGCATGTTAATGATATACAAATGATAAAACAACATTGTTTAATTTCTACAAATGACCAATCAGAGTTGTGTTAAGATAACTAGATAAGGTGACTTCAGAGCATGTATCTAACGTAAACTTTTCCCTCTACTGTGGCTCTTCTACAAGTAGTTTGATCTATTTTACATCCTTTGTAAACTCTACTTGCACGAAGAACACGACGGCAGCATCTGTTGTCGGTGTAACCCACGACCTAAGGAAGGCTGACTCTTGTAATGGTGCATTAAGGCATGTTTTCAGGAACCCAATCCATTAGACAGTTCTCAGAACAGTGTGAAGATAAAGTGAGCGCTAACTCTACTGGTGTTAAACCAGGTTGAACTCTTTGAGGTTGTGTCTCAGGATGGTGTCTTTGACGGCGGCGAAGATCAGCCGGATGTTCTCCGTGTCCGTGGCACAGGTGAAGTGAGAGTAGATGGTTTTGTCTTTGTCTTCGTTCTCATCCTGGTACATCTTCAGGATAAATTCCTGGGCTGACTTTGGATCATTTTTGGGGCCTGAAAAACAAAAACAAAATGATGTGGGTAAATGATGTCATGCTTGGTTTTTTCGCTCATATCCATTTATTTAAAAAAATACGTTGAAAATGCAATGACTTGAAGTATAATTTTCTGTGATGAGCATGTTTTTATTTCTGAATTAAAATTGATTTTTATATTTTTTGGTGTCAAAGTTGAAAATGTCACCGTGGTTCAACTCTTCAAATTATATTATCATATTATATTGTAATATATATCAAAACATGTTCAATATATCTCTCAATATATCTCTATATATATCAATATATCTCTATATTAATATATATATATATATATATATATATATATATATATATCTATATCAATATATCTCTATATCAATATATATATATATATATATATATCAATATATCTCTATATCAATATATATATATATAAACTCTTCACTGTTGTTCCTGAAACTTTTAATTATATTATATTAAATTAAATGTAATTAAATGTATTATATTAAAATATATTAAAAACATTTTCAAAAGATAAAAAAGAATATCTTTGATTCTTATTATTAATATATATATATATATATATATAAACTCTTCACTATGTTCCTGAAACTTTTAATTATATTAAATTAAATGTATTATATTAAAATATATTAAAAACATTTTCAAAAGATAAAAAAGAAAAAATACATTTTAAGAACTATATATTGAAAAAAATATATATAAAAACTCTTCGCTGGGTTCCTGAAACTTCAAATTATATTATTATATTAAAAATATTTTCAAAAGAATACATATATATAGTTTGAGATTAGTTGAGGCTATAAAATATTATGACAAATATTTTTAAAAAAATGGTGTAAAAATGTTCAATGAAATCATCAAGAGAAAAATAGCCTCTTTGTTTTAAACTGGATTTAAGGACACCTTTATATGAAATTGATCCAAACATTAATAATATTGCAGTTTATCTTTAACAAAATAGCTGTTTGGACAGGATTCCTTATTCACATGATGATGCACCTGGGCTGCGTCCCAAATCACACACTTCCCTACTATCTAGCAGACGACTAGAGTATGTGACAAAAGAAGAGTCTGAATTAAACAGCAGGTGAAAAGTCCCTGAGATTCTGAAGTATGTATATGATGGACACTTTACTATCCCATGAGGCCACAGGAGAGGGTTTATGAATGACGCTGGTAGATCACATGATAATGACAACAGAGACTTTTTTTAGCGCTCACAAAGTAAGTACTTAAAATAAGTATGCGATCTTGCCCTCGTCTCACATGTAAACTGCATCAATGACTCACCTGTGAATTCTGGGAAATATGTGGCCAGGTGCGAGTGAACGATCTTCTCCTTCAGGATGTCTGTCTTATTCAGAAAGAGAATCACAGACGACTGCTGGAACCAGGGATACGTGATGATGGTTTTAAACAGAGCTTTACTCTCCTCCATGCGATTCTGGGACACAGGAAACACGAGGTGAGCATGAAGCCGGAGAGAAGCGAGAGAACGGGAACCTCGGCGTGAACCTCACCTCGTTGTCACATTCGGCGAGGACCTGATCGTACTCGCTCAGCGCCACCAGGAAGATGATGGAGGTGACGTTCTCGAAGCAGTGGATCCACTTCCTGCGCTCTGACCTCTGACCCCCGACATCCACCATCCTGATGAGGTCAGTAGCAGCAATTAAACAAGTTATCACATCAATATGCAAACCAGAAAGCCATGGGTTTTCTTTCAAAGGTTTTATATTATACATATTTGAAACGTCAAAGTAATTAGTGGTGCTTGCTGAAAGCAAGGCAACACTATTACTATTGTGTTTTTTGAGTCGGCCCAAAAGTTTGGCACGCTACTCCTCCCGCAGTTTTTGTCACACACCCATGAATGAGGTCTCAAAACGTGCGGAATATTCGGGAATGGTGTGCTATGACTTTTCTAAGCGATCGGGGGTACGATGTTCGCCCGAAGGGCGAACAAATTTCCCAAAAATCCCATAGACTTAACATTGCGACAAACTTTGACGACTCATAGCTCCGAGCGAGAATTTCACAGAAGCCTGCGATTCACCACATTTGAAGAGGCTGACAGGCTCTGTAAGAACATACCTCACAATGGGGTAAAAGTTGCACCCCTGGGGGGCAGGAGCTGCCCAAATTTTCCCCATAGACCCCAATGTTATTTATTATTAGTGGTGCTTGCTGAAAGCAAGGCAACACTATTACTATTGTGTTTTTTGAGTCGGCCCAAAAGTTTGGCGCGCTACTCCTCCCGCAGTTTTTGTCACACACCCATGAATGAGGTCTCAAAACGTGCGGAATATTCGGGAATGGTGTGCTATGACTTTTCTAAGCGATCGGGGGTACGATGTTCGCCCGAAGGGCGAACAAATTTCCCAAAAATCCCATAGACTTAACATTGCGACAAACTTTGACGACTCATAGCTCCGAGCGAGAATTTCACAGAAGCCTGCGATTCACCACATTTGAAGAGGCTGACAGGCTCTGTAAGAACATACCTCACAATGGGGTAAAAGTTGCACCCCTGGGGGGCAGGAGCTGCCCAAATTTTCCCCATTGACCCCCATGTTATTTATTAGTGTGAATGCTTCAAGCATTCACACTCTTGAAATCCAAATCTTTCTTATTATTCCGTATTCTTCCGTACGTTTTTCGGTCGCTTTCTTCTCCTCTCTACTTTGTGCTACAAAAACCATTCAAGTATCAAAATGTGCAGCTTTTCAAGGACATGTGTGCTATTACTTTTCTTGTTTATAACCTTTATACTTTTTAAATTATTAAACTTTTTGTGCATATTTTTTAACATGGAAGTCAATGGAGAATTTTTCAAATTCTGTTTTATGCTCCTTCTGCTTTCAAAGCCTACAACTTCTGCATACTTTCAGCTATTTCTGTCATTTAAACTTTAAAATGTTGAGAAATTTGTAAGCTATTAAAGTTGTATTCAACTTTTTGATATCTATTATACTTTTTTCACAATCTCTACTTTAGTCTCATGATGTTTTTCAACCCGTTTCTGAAATTATAATGGGAGTGAATGAGAGAGACTGTTCAGAGCTAGAGCACGTGCTAGAGTGAGCCAGCTTGAAACCTAATGCTAAAAAATAATTTTTAAATCGCTGGCCTGGCCACAATTTTCACTCTTTGGGCATAAAATTATACTTGAAACGTAGGTATTTTTGTTGTGGTTCCTCTCATGTGTTTAGTAAATCCCTGGGACTTATAGTTTTTTCACTGTGTCCTTCCAAAGGACAAGAGTGACAGACATTCCTCCATTGACAGCAATTATAAATTCAGGTCAAACTTTTGTGATCAGAGCAATACAAACCAGTTTTTTAACTTGCCAAAGTGGTCCCTTTTTTTAACTCTATCCACAAAAAAAATACATCACATCGTTCACAAAGGCCTTGTCTCGCTCACGGTCAGGTCATTTCGCCAATACAACCTATAGTTTTGTCTCTATTGAGGTTTGTTCGAGGCCAAGTATCAGCAATTTTGGCCTCTGTCTAAATAGGAAAGCTGATTGCACAGGTGATGCTGATTAGCAAAGATCAAAGGGAGACACACATAATTGGTCCTGTGTTCTTATTGGTGGACAGTCACTCAGCTCTTTTCTGAAGGATACTACAAGTTTTTGTTGCATTTATGCCTCTACTTCTGTTCTCCCTCTCTCTTCCCTCCTCTTCTCCTCCTCCAATCCTCTACTCCTCCTGTCCTCCTATTCTACCCTCCTTTCATAATCTCTTCTCCTTTCTACTCTTCCTTTTATCCTCTTCTATCCATCTGCCTGTCTTAACTATTTGACTTTCTGTGTCCAAATGATCTATCTATCTATGTATAGACTATGTATGTATCTATCTATCTATCTATCTATCTATCTATCTATCTATCTATCTATCTATCTATCTATCTATCTATCTATCTATCTATCTATCTATCTATCTATCTATCTAATCCATCTATATTTCTAACTAATCTATCTTTCTTTCATTCTAGATAATCTATCTTTCTTTCTAACTATACTATCTTTCTTTCTAAATAATCTTTTCTTTCTAGCTATACTATCTATCTTTCTAACTGATCTATCTTTCTTTCTTTCTAAATAATCTTTCTTTCTTTCTAACTATACTATCTGTCTTTCTTTCTAACCAATATATCTTTCCTTCTTTCTTTCTAACTAATCCTTTCTTTATTTCTAACTAATCATTTCTTTCTTTTTTCATCCTTTCAAATCCATCTTTCTTTCTAACTAATTCTTTCTTTCTTTCTTTCAAATTCATATTTCTTTCTTACTAATCATTGCTTTCTTTCTTTCTTTCATCTATCTATCATCTATTTTTCTTTCTTTCTTTCTTTTTTCTTTATTTCTAATAATCAATCTATCTTTCTTTCTTTCTTTCTTTCAAATTCCTATTTCTTTCTTACTAATCCTTTCTTTCTTTCTTTCAAATCCATATTTCTTTCTAACTAATCTTTCTTTCTTTTTTTCTTTTTATCTTTCTTTCTTTCTTTCTTTCTTTCTTTCTTTCTTTCTATTTCTTTATTTTGAATAATCTATCTATCTATCTATCTATCTATCTATCTATCTATCTATCTATCTATCTATCTATCTATCTATCTATCTATCTATCTATCTATCTATCTTTCTTTCTACCTAATCCATCTTTCTTCTTCCTTTCTACCTAATCCTTCTTTCTTTCCTTTCTTTCTTTCTTTCTTCTTCTTTCTTTCTTTCTTTCTTTCTTTCTTTCTTTCTTTCTTTCTAATAATCCATCTATCTATCTATCTATCTATCTATCTATTTATCTATCTATCAAATCCATCTTTCTTTCTAACTAACTAATCCTTTCTTTCTCACTAATTCTTTCTTTCTTTCTTTCTTTCAAATCCATCTTTTTTTCTAACTAATTCTTTCTTTCTTTCTAATCCATATTTCTTTCTTTCTTTCTTTCTTTCTAACTAATCCTTTCTTTCTTTCTCTCTCACTAATCCTTTCTTTCTTTCTCACTAATCCTTTCTTTCTTTCTTTTAAATCCATCTATCTATCTACAGTCTGTCTGTCTATCTATCTATCTATCTATCTATCTATCTATCTATCTATCTATCTATCTATCTATCTATCTATCTATCTACCCCCTGTCTTTCTCTACCTTTCTTTTTTGTACTCCTTTACTTCTCTACCTCTGTCTCTTTCTCTACCCCTATATTTCTTTACCTCTGTGTCTACATCTCTACCTCTCTTTACCTCTCTAAGTAAACTTGTAGTTTTCTACAATTTTTTGGATCTTGTTTTGCATTTCAGCTTATTAAATGCATTTGAATTAAGCTTTTTTTTCTTTTTTGCTCTGTTTTGCTGTTGTTTGAACTGCAATATTTTTTTTTTTTAAGCATTTAAGTTAAGCTTTTGAAGCATTCACACGCATATTCCGCAGGAAATGCAATTTTTCTAGTTAGTGGTGCTTGCTGAAAGCAAGGCAACACTATTACTATTGTGTTTTTTGAGCCGGCCCAAAAGTTTGGCACGCTACTCCTCCCGCAGTTTTTGTCACACACCCATGAATGAGGTCTCAAAACGTGCGGAATATTCGGGAATGGTGTGCTATGACTTTTCTAAGCGATCGGGGGTACGATGTTCGCCCGAAGGGCGAACAAATTTCCCAAAAATCCCATAGACTTAACATTGCGACAAACTTTGACGACTCATAGCTCCGAGCGAGGATTTCACAGAAGCCTGCGATTTACCACATTTGAAGAGGCTGACAGGCTCTGTAAGAACATACCTCACAATGGGGTAAAAGTTGCACCCCTGGGGGGCAGGAGCTGCCCAAATATTCCCCCATTGACCCCCATGTTATTTATTATTATTATTATTCTTCCACACAAAATTTCTGCACGCTACTCCTCCCGCAGTTTTTATCACAGACCCATGGGTGAGGCGTCAAATCGACCGGCTTATTTAGGAGAGGTGTGCTATGACTTTTATAAGCGATCGGGGGTACGATGTTCACCCCAGGGGCGAAAAACCGGCCAAAAAATCCCATAGACTTAACATTACGACAAATTTTGGCGATTCATAGCTCTGAGCGAGGATTTCGCAGAAACCTGCGATTTACCACATTTGAAGAGGCTGACAGGCTCTTTAAGAAAATACCTCACAATGGGGTAAAAGTTGCACCCCTGGGGGGCAGGAGCTCCCCAAAAATTTTTCCCATTGACATTTTCTAGTATAGCATTTAACTATTCCAGGAAAAAGTTTGGCGCACTCCTACGTCCACATTTTTTGTCACAGACACTTAAATGAGGCATCAAATCGTGCGGCCTATTGAGGAGAAGTGTCGTATGAATTTTATAAGAGATCAGGGGTACGGTGTTCGCCCCAGGGCGAACAAATTTCAAAAAAAATCCCATAGACTTAACATTGAGACAAACTTTGACGACTCGTAGCTCCGAACGAGGATTTCGGACAAATGTGTGATTTGCCATATTTGAAGAGGCTGGCAGGCTCTTTAAGAACATACCTCACAATGGGGTACAAGTTGCACCCCTGGGGGCAGGAGCTGCCCAAAGTTTTCCCCATTGACTTACTATGGTGAGGGACGTCCCATCAAATGCATGTGTTTTTCCTACTATGGTAAATTGGCATA